GTGTAAAATACATTGTTTGTTAACATGAAATTAGAATACGCGCTGTGCGTCGATCACCGACTTTTAAACATAATTTGATAATCACCAGTTCATTGATCGTTGACGTTAAATTATAATACACATATAATTGATTATCAAAGTGTAGTACTATGTCATACCATTACTAATCTGTTCTCAACTTATATTCGTAATAAATGACACAAGAAAAAAAATTGCTATATGCTTGGTTGCTATACGTCATGATCGTCCAATTCCCAAAAACGTGTATTACACAATTGTCCCTTACAAATAAAACAAACAGACAAATAAAAGTTATACAAAATTCTATAAGTAAAATAGGCTGATGTACACATGGTTAATGTTACAATCGAGGCTGAATAATTTCATGCAACAAATTATACACGCCACATGGTCGTCAAGTCTATACATCAAAATGCCCATTTTGTATTTGAGTGTTCAAAACTTGCTTGGCACTGCAAAAATATTTTTCAAACATATTCTAAAAATTAGAGACAACTAGATTTAACAAATAGTAAACAACGTGTACATCTCTTCACTATAGAATAATTTTAATTATTGGTAACATCATAAAGCCACTGTTAACATCTCAATTGTTAAGATAATCTTCGATATCGTAATCAAACATGTTGAAATCCGTTTTATATTTGTTATATAGTCCTTGCAATTGTTGTTGAGTGAGCTCGCTGTAATATCTTCTCAATATGTCTATCGAAGAACTGTTTGTGCTGTGTGGAACGTACGAAGGAAACTGGACTACGCTAAATACGTTGATTTTCTTCAAAATGAAATCTACATCCTCGTTCAAGGTTTCATATTTTCCAATAAAGTCGTAGTGAATGTTACACGGAGAGCAGTAGGAAGTGATTATATTCCAGTGATTGTCAAATCTATGTATATATAATAATAAAAATGTCACGAAATTCTGAAAACTAAATTTTCTATTCAGATTTTCACTTTTGTTTGCTTTGTTCACTAAAGAAGTGTACTTTTCCACGTAATTCCTTTCAGGATCCTCTTCAAATTTATCTTTATATGCCGATAGAATCCTTGTAAAAGGGTGCCTCGAAAACATAAATTTAGTGTACGTTTGAAGACGAATTTGTCTTTCCCTAACTGTGTAATCTTTTAGGGTTTTGTATTTGTATTTATAAACACTCTTCGTTATTTCTGACACGTTATTGAATGAGCCTCTTAAAACCAGAAAAACTCTGCGCCAATTCGAGTTAGCAACCTTAGGTACTGCACAGTATATAATCTTGTAAGTATCGTCTACCAGTAGATTATCATATATACTGTTGTTCCATCTCATTAATTCAGGATATTGTTTGCATATTTGATTCACGTGTAGTTTCCGTTTACGCTGAATGTTTTCCAAATCTTCCATCTGCGAATAAATAGATATACTCTATAGAATTAAACAAATTAAGGGAGTGGATGTTAGTTACGGATAGCGGGGGGTGTAGGCTAGCCACTCTTTCTGGTAGCAGTTTGGGGATGAGCCATACGTAAGGCAGTAACAATGAGAGGATCATGTAGTTGTTTGTACACACACAGTAAGTTTAGACATGAAACATATGATGGTTAACTACAAATATAAATAGCCCCAAACAGACAAAAAGAAACATCTTAGTTCTATTTCGTAGTATTGGTATCAGTAGCATTAATATTATTTATTAAACGTTTTGGTGCAGCTTACAGGCCGAATAGTTAGTCCACACGTGGAAAAGAATGTGCTCACTTATTTTGAAACACACAGTTAATCACTCCATACATTAGTAATGTTAGCAATGTCTTGCCTATGTACAATCCATGAACAATATGTTATTTTTGTTTTTACTATACAATTAGAAGTGAAATTCAATGTATGCAAAATATAATAATTATTTCTCATTCACTTATGTAATGTGCCTCATTGTTAAGGACATCATCTATTTTTTTAGCAATAGTTTTAATGGAATCTTTCAGTAAAAGAAAAAAGGTAATTTCTATTATATTAAATTGTAACTAGCATTTCCATCATCAGTATATCTTGTTGTATAGTATACACAATAACATATGATAACGTGTATCCAAGATTCAGCAAGTTAACTATGTTATTATTGTCACATTTTGGTGGCAGTAGTTCTTGTGCTAAGTTAAATAGCACCTGGTGGAGCAGTAGTGTAATTTGATTGGCTGAGCAAATGGCCACCTGGGCTCGTACATAGAGGCAGGAAAGACTGACTTTTGGCTAGTCACTTGCCAGGGGACCAGCGACGAGTGAGCACACTAAATATCATGTGCGGAAGGTAGTGGTTTGCCATCATAGCCATGCGTTGCAGGCAGTTATCAAGTTATGAACTGCAGCCTGTGCAAGTCGTGTGAAACGCATTGTGTTGTAACTGACAAGTGAGTAATGTAAATTTGTTGACTTTTAAAGGGTGGTGTTCAACTGTAGGTATTAACCGGTTTGTTGACTGAAGCTTTGCAGTCAGGGAATTTGATTATTGTAGGCAATTTTGTGTACTACTGTACTACTCTAGGTCAACTACTGTATGGCGAATGTACGCACGTGACGAGCGGATATCTGCAGTTGATATTAGCAAGGTCAATACAGGAAACGTTGGAGAGAGAGAGTCAGCTGTTTACGTCGCACTAGTCGTCGCTAACTGTGTGGGACCACGCACATTGACCGTCCAGTGTTGAGCCGTCTGTGGTGGTGTATAGCGTTTCTGTGTAATTTTATTGTAATTTGTATTTATGTATTTGTAAAATAATTCATGATTAGTTGTTGGTTACGGTAGCGTGGTCGGCCGGGTATTTATTGAATTAGTACATATTAATTTGGTTTGCAATGTGGGAAGAACTTAGTACTGATAATTAATGTGAAGTTCTTTGGGCAATTATTTCTAAAGCCAGACTGCTGTAGAGTGTGAGAGTACAATTGTATTTAAATGAACAATATGCATATTGAATCCATAATTCAGAAATATAACCATTATGTATGTTAATTTTGTTTTCTTGCTTTATGTATATAAATATGATATAATGTACCATGATGTGCTTATTGTGTGCGAGCGCTCGAACGTGACTTTCGTGTATGAACAATAATAATACCACCCTGAACCTGTGACAATTATAAAAAAACTGTCACCTATATTATAACTTTTAGATTAAATAGAAACGAGATATTTATTCAATGTCATCGTTCGTACAATAATGAACTATATATGGGTGTGGTCTGAGAGCGAAATAAGCCATCTTATTTACATTTGTTAGCATCTTAGAACACAGTGCATTATGCTAATATTCAATGCACTTGAAACATTACTTACATTTAATGTATTCAAATAATAAAGTACATTATGCTGTTTTAAAATGTGGAAAGTGGAAATATAGTTGAACGCCATTGTAAATTCACTTAAACGCAACATAGATCTCGTAAGATTTCTAGCTTAAAGCGGGGGAGTCGTCACCTGCGCATACGTCAGGTGGCCATAGCGTGTTATTGTTTACAGACAAGCGTTTATCCATGAGCATTTGAGTTTTTAGCATGTGTTGTCATCGTCGCTTGGAAGTCAATTCGTGCTCAGGTGACACCCTACCGCTTTAATATGCTTTTACATTTTCCCTCTCTGGTCCTTTAATACAATTTTCTCCTCAAATTGGGCAGGTATGTGAATAGAACCTATTCGTTATACATTAGACAATATGTAATTGCTAGGTAATTGCTTTGTTCGAATAATTAATTTGCCTGCCTTGAATTAAAAGAATTAATTCTGCCATTATGTGTCTGTCGTCGTCGTTGTTTACATAATTCCATTCTGGTAATTCTAACACATTATGCTATGCAGATTCTGTTCCTTGAATTGTGCATATTTGAAAATGCCGTTTATGAACTAGATTCCACTCAAATATTTAAAAGCAAACACGTATAACGTGATTGGTAAATGCATAATGTAGTCGATATAGTGACCAATACATTATTCATACAAGTGGTAAACATTCTGTGACGTCATCATAACATAATGTAAACGCATTAATTATTAACTGGGTTTTAATTTCGCTATTTTCGCAGATGAATAAAATCTGATAAATTAAATCTATGTGAACATGTAAAATAATAATAAATGTCACTGTTTCCTCAACAACAAAATCGTGAAATTTAAACACGGTGAATTTGCGCAACCCAGCAAAATAGTGAAGTTAAATTTCATGGAAAAAATGGCTTTACAGTATACGGGTGTAGGCAATGTGGTTCGAATCGAGTACTGTTTTTTCTTGTATAGTTGTTCGCCATCAAGAATATAGAAAAACGCTCAAAAACGTAATTCTCATCAGTCTCTGATAGAGGGACTGTGCTCTCATTAATGAACGACCCCAGATCAAAACGATATCGACACTTTTAAAGCGGGGGGCGTCACATGCGCACGCGCGGGAATTGAGTCTTGAGCAACGAGAACACTCGCTAAAACGCAATGGGCTCATGGGTAGACACTTGTTTGTAAACTACTAGTATGACACGACCATCTGACGCATGCGCAGGTGACGACTCCCCCGCTTTAAAGGTCTTCGTGTAACCTATTTACGTCATAAAAATTCTTCGCCACTAGAGGGGGCGAAATCGGTCTTAGCGCGATTGTAATTTAAAGTTAAACTCACAGTATTGAGTGCAACGTGTTCTGGTGAAACAGTTTCTTCTATTTTCTCTTCTCTCTGTCTTATTAAATCAACATCCCTGGGATTAGGCTGCGATTTGTCAACTGCCACTTTATTATCAGACCTATCCCGTGTTAATATCAAATCTAAAAAAACAAATGCAGAAAACAACAAATATGCATTAAACTTGGTATTACTACAGTATAGCGCCACCACCATTCAGAATTCATATTTTAGCACGGATAACGTCAGCATTGTTGTACTTGCATATAAATAATACAGATGTAAAGGTTTTACACTACGAATAATGCGCGAGACCATAATACGTACAGGTAATTTATGCCATATGTATTAATAGAGGTAATATAAACGTTTTACATGAATAGGGTAGGTGACGAAAGCGGACACAAACATATAATATACTGAGTGAAAATATATGAAGATTTCGTATATTCGATAAAATCCTGTATCTTGCTAATGCAATATTTGTATAGTGTGTGTCATATTTACGAGGTGTTGCTATAAATATAATTGCCGTAATTGTAAAATGCAGCACAGCGCGTGAAACGGATCAAATAAGACACTGTCAACCACATCTTCATTGCTTTTTTTGTGACTTGTTGTGAATCCAAGAAAGTTCATTGTTTAGCGGTTTTGTGTATTACTAGCCGATTAATAGGCTTTTCTGCACGAGAGCAAGGAGATGATTTGCCCTACATGAGTAGTTCAAATGTTCTCATTGCAAGAGGCACACATGTCCCATATTTCGACCATGATATTTGGATTAAAGGTTTCTCGGATATGAGCATACATAAATTATAACAATTACACATAACACCGGTTATCATAATCCAGCCGAGCACCACCTTTTGTGTTCTGTGTGGCGACTATATCCTTAACTGGACCACCAAATATCTAGGATGTTAATATTCTAAGCCATTAATCGAATTCACCCGGCTTTCATACTTTTTCAAAATTAAGCAAACCACTCGTTTATATTGGCATAACACCATTACCGTTTGGAAGCCATTTTGTCTCTCAGATGCCAGTAAATGCATTGCGTTGATGATTACAATTAATACTATACTATAATACAGTACTATTTGCTAGTTGTACACTTAAACAGAAGCACGTATTGTGAAAAGAACATTTACCTTTGTTGAGCACTCCATACTGTACGAGGAATATAAATATAGATATGGCAATCAATATACACAGACCTGAGATTTTTGTCTTACCCATAATGCATAGCATCTCACAGTTGTTAATAATGCATCTGCAAAAAGAAATGCTTTTATGAGCTAATAATATTTATAGTTAACCGTTGAGCCTGGGAATTAGGCTCGTTCGTGTGCATATGAGTATTGTAGAAACACATTTTGTGTGTGCATATGTGTTGTAATTTCTCGATCAAATAATCAAACTACGATTTGACCTCTAGCTGATATACACACTCGCACACTGAAACGAGAACCTACAAATCAACTCCTACAAATACGACACAGTTACTAACCGCCACCTTACATATACATATACGTAAACATGGTTTCTTCTTAAAGACCGACATGGTATATATAGT